TATCTTCAATCGTTTCCTTAATCCGACAACACATGGAAGCTTTTGCTCAAACCAATCCCTGTAAATTGAAACCGGGTAAGTTAGAGCATTTCTATTGGAGGTCTTTAAGGGTTGTTAAGCGTTGTCTTTTAAATTAAAAATTATTAAAATTTGAATAAAAGGAAGAAAAAGAGTGTTTTTATGGAGTGTATTGAAATATAAAATTAATAAAATTTGAGTAAAGAGAGGAGATAGTGGGTGTGTTTAAATATAAAAGTTGAGTAAAAAAAAGAGAGAATGTTAAAATTGATATTTTAGATACTTTTAGAGAATTTGTTTTGAAATACTGGGATGTATTGAAATATAAAATTAATAAAAGTTGAGTAAAAAGATGAAAAAGAAGGTATAAAGTTGAATATAAAGAAGAGAGAGTATGTGTTTTAATAATTTTTAATTTAAGAGACAACCCTTACGAACCATGGATGGAGATGGCCTTAAAAAGGTAGAATCTTTGACTTAGGTCTAAAGAAAGTATGATGCTTTTTTTTGTGGGTTGATTTAGGTTTTTTTTTTTTAATGGGTTGTTTATAATCTGTCAGATTTTAATGCTTCCCCAATAGTTGATGAACCAATGAAAAATCTGTTATCCGCATAGAAAAAAATTAACAAGAAGATGGGTTAATATGTGGTTTAAGCTATGTTATAGATTGGAATCGTGGATGTTATTTTTTTTTGTTTTATGTTCTGAAATTTGGATTATGATTTTGTGAATAATTTGATTATATGAGATTGACTGTGTTTTGCTTTTGAAAACAGAGGAGAAACCCAAATCGTGGATGTGTTTTGCTCAAGCCATGACTTGTTGTGCTGATTGACGAACCAAAACTGGACTGGGTAAGTTTGAATATATATACTCTTTGCGTTTCAAGTTTTGATCAATAAACTTTTTCATGAAACTGAAGCATACCTAATTGTTTTACAAGAGCCATGTAGAGTAGAAGAGCTTGAGAAAAAAAGAAAAAGAACCATGTTGAACCCAAGGATGTATTTGTCGTGGCCCAGTAGATGTAGTTGCCTTAACCCAATAATTTATTTGTAAAAGCCCAGAATATGATTTCGCTTAGCCCAGTAACAAAAACTTGATGTAGTTGCCTTTGATCAATACTTAGAATCAATAATTAATAAGCATGCTTAATTTTTGTTGCCTTTGTGATTCAAGCAGTTTAAGTTGATTCTCTGTATTTTTGTTTTTGTTTTGTAGATGTGTAACAAGTCTTCTTCATCGGCGCAAAGTTCCACTGAAATTATAACAAAGCCTTTTCACGTTCTCATTTTTTTTGCAAAGTGATTTTCGAATTTCACAAAAGAAACTTACCTAATATTTTAGTTTTTTGGATTTTAATTAAAGAAAATTTGAGTATTTTCAAGTATTTCTAATTTTTGGATTTTAATTAAAGAAATTTGAGTGTTAAGTTTACATAATTGTGAAAACTTTTCGGAGGTGGGATCTTGTCATTGACTTGTGTTTGATCGTTAGCGGTTCTAAATTCGCTTAGTCGAAACACAATATAACGTAAGTTTAACATTCAAACTTTTGATATATTTTTTTATTAAGTATTTTTCAAGTGTTTCTAATTTTCGGATTTTAATTAAAGAAAAATTGAGTGTCAAGTTTACATAATTGTGAAAACTTTTTGGAAGTGGGATCTTGTCACTGACTTGTCTCTGATCGTTAGCGGTTCCAAATTTGTTTAGTCGACACAGTACAATGTAAGTTTAGCATTCGAATTTTTGATATATTTTTTTACTAAGTATTTTTTAATTAAAGAAATTTGAATTTAAGATGTACATAGTTTTGAAAATTATAGGAAAGTGAGATCATGTCATTGATTGATGTTTTGATTATTAGCGATTCCAATTTTTTTTTCTCTAACACTATATAATGTAAATTTATCCAAATCGCCATATCCGAAGCTCTCTCGTCTATATATAACTATCCCTCTTTGTTTTCGATTCAAAAAAATTATTTTGGTGTATTTAATTTTTCAGTTATTATACAATTTTTTAATGAAATTTGCGAAACTTTCTCTATTTCTTACAATTTCAAGATATCTTTGTTTGCATCAGCGAATCTGGTTAGTGAGTAATGACAAGTTTCATTTACAATATTCAATGGAGAAAGAGCATATTCCTTGAATTCATTGGACTTCCAATACACAAAACCATCCGAATCCTAAATCGATCAGATTCTACTTTAAATAAAATGGACTATTTAGTCTTTAGAAGGTCCTTTTGTGTCGAAATTATCACTTTTTTTTTTTTGGTCAAAGATTTTTTTTTTTTTTGTTCCACTCAAAATCACAAATAATCATTAGTAAACAATCTAATGACCAAAAAATATTGTTTAACAAGAAAACAGAGTATATAAACCTAATCCACGTAAATATTTTCTTTACAAGTGTAGCTTTGTTTATTCAACACTCAATGAAACAATATATAGCTTTTATATTTACATGAAAGAGTTACCGATACAAGAAAAAACTCGTAATAACTCGTATAAAGACAATAACTCGTAATAAAACCTAAATTTTTTCGAAAGATAAACCCTAAAACTTAACGTGAAGCAGAAGCTAAAGCAACTGCTTGTGCCCACATCTTCAATCTTGCCTTAACCTCCTTCGGATCATCTCCTAATACCATAATTCACACACACCAAAACAAAATTAAATCCTAATTTATAAAACAAAATAAACTAATGTGAGATTAGATTAAATCCTAATTTTAATAATTACCAGGACTTGATATACGCCAATTAGCAATCGGAGAGTTACCACCACTACTAGTCTGAGTTTCCCGGTTTGACCCGGTAGATACCAAAACCCGAACCGGAATTTCCAAATCAAACCCGAGATCTCTACAAGCTTTCACTTCTTCAAATCCCATCTTCATTGACTTTTTTCCTCCTTTGACTTTCGTTAACACCGTTAACTCTTCTCCTCCTCCACTGTAACAGTTTCCGTCTCCGTCACTGTTTACTCTCTCCACACCGTTAAACCCGTGACCGTACTGATTCCCTCCTCTTTTACTCTTTTCCCTTAATACCCTTCTCTGCTTAACTAAATTACACTTATTGCCATTGGTTTGTAAACCGGTCTCTGAACCGGTCGAATCAGATAGTTTTCTTCTCCGGCGAAAGATGATCGTCGGAAGAGAGTAAAACCCGGTAGATTCCTTGTCGGAATCAGAATCTTCACCGTCGTCGGAGATTTCTCCGTCTGCTTCAGCTCCGACGTCGTCGTCGTCGAAGCTCTCTAGTGAAAGCTCAGAGATGAAATTACCTAAATCTGAAGGATGATTTATGCAATTTTCTTCGTCTTCTTCGTCGTCGTGAAAGGAGCTCGTGCAGATAGATAATCTAGACAAACTACTTTGCCTTGTCTGGTAATGAAACCCATCATCTGTATCATCGTACTCCTCGTCTAAAACTGAAGAACAATTCATCTTGAAGCTCTCTTCAGACGCCATTAAAGATACC